GAAGCAGCCGTGTCCGGCCTGAGGGCTGGCGTGCAACAGCGCTCACCGCCGTGTGGCTCCCTGTGCACCAAAGCCCCTCCTCCCAGGTGCCTGTTAGGCTGGGGGCCGGCCCAAGGGCCAGCGCTCCCTGCCCTGTGGCCTCCCGGGCACCGGGGGCCCTCCCTCCGGGGGCCTACGAGGCAGGAAGCTAGCCAGCCGGAAGACCAGCGCTCCCCGCCCAAGGCTCCCCGTGCGCTGGGGGCCCTCTCTCCGGGAGCCTACCTTGTTCCACATTTCTGTTCTTCCCAGTCTTTCTCTCCATTGTTCAGAGTAATTTCTGACTCTTTCTTCAAATTCACTGCTTGTTTCCTGTCACTTTTATTCTGCTGAATTTTAATCTAATGAATTTTTAATTTTTAGTTATTGTATTTTATCAGTTCCAAAATTTTTATTTTCCTAACATCTTCTATTTTGTTGCTGTGGCCTTCTAACTCTTCCTTTGTTTCAAGCATGTTAGCAGTTGGCTGCTTTAATAACACTGCTTTAAACTCATCAGATAATTTTGACATTTGTGTCATTGTGGTATTGATGTCCACTGACTGTTGTTTCTGTAATCAAGTTGAGATTTTCCTTCTGGATGTGGCAAATTATTTCCAGTTGTATCTTGGAAATGCTGACTTATGAAGTTCAGGACCCTACTTAATCTTTTGTATAGGGAGTCACTCTGCTCAAGTATGGCGTGTAGGTTCAGGTGAGGGTAGATGTTCAGCTTCTCGTGGGGCTCTGATGTTTGTATGACATGAACTTATTCCTGACGTCGAGGGCTAGCTTGCTGTCTTTTCATCTTGCTATCTTCCTTTGCTTGTTTGTTGTAATATGTCCAAGGTTTTTGGCTGTAAGAGGGAGGACCAATGAGAAATGGGGCTAGTCTACATTGGCTAGAAACAGAAGTCCTAGTCATTTTTGATACATTTTTTCATTATTATTCAGTTAAAAATATTTTGTAAGTTTCACTGTAATTTATCTCTTGACCCCTAGAATATATAGGCTTGGCATTTCAGATTAAAAGTGATAATTTTGGGATTTGCTTTAAAATAATGCAAAAGAAAGAAGTGGGTGAAGGTGTAGATGAATAATAATTGGTCAAGGGTTTATCATTTTTTTTTAAGCTGGATGGTAAACTCGTGAGAGTGCAGTACATGTTTCTGCCCATTTTTGTTTATGTTTGAAATTTTCCATAAGAAAAGTTTTAAAAAATTTTTAAAATTACCATTTAGATTATAAACACTTGAAAATTTTCTATTTACCCTTTTGTTACTAATTTCTAATTCAGTTCACTGTGACTAATGGAATACTGTCGCCTCAATCCATTGAGATTTATGGGGACCCACTCCATGCTCTTGGGTAGAGTCTATTTGGGCTAATGTTCTACAGCAAGAAAAGACTGCATTCTGTTGCTGTTGGGTGCATGTTCTACATGTGAGTCTGATCAAATTTGTTAACTTGTATTATTCTAATTGGTCACATCATTAAAAATTTTTGTCTGCCAGCTACATTACCAGGTCTTACAGGCTCTACTGTGACCACTCCTACTCCTGTCCAAATTCATGTGATGAAGTCCTATCTCCCAGGACCTTGGGAGGTGACCTTATTTGAAAACACATTCATTGCAGGTGTAAGTAGTTGAGATGAAGTCAGACTGAAACAGGGCAGGCCCTACTGCAGTACAATTGCCATCCTTTGAAAAGGGGAAAATGTGGATGTACACGCACAGGAAGAACTGCTGTGCGGCAAAGGCAGAGATCGCGGTAGTGCCACTGGGGCCACGGGAGGTTAAAAGTTCCTACAGACAACCAGAAGCTAGACAGAGGTGGGGACATATCTTCCCTTGTAACCCTCACAGGGAGCCAGTCTTGTTGACACTTAGCTCCGACTTCTGACCTCTACAACAGTGAGACAACACATTTCTGTTTTTAAGCCATCACAAAGGAAGCTGGGATAAGATCTGAAGCAATGACAGATTTGTCTATCTCATCTCCTAGTTCTGTCAGTTTTTACTAGGTGTATTTTGAGTTATGTTGTTAAAGGCATACCCATTTTAGATTGCTTTTTCTTCCTGTTGAATGAAATCACTTTTCCTTCTTTAACCCTAGTGCTACTTTGCCTTAACGCTTACTTTTTTCTGGTATTAGTATAGTTGGTTCCATCGTATACCAACCTTATACTGTCTACCTTTCTATGTCTTCGTATCTATATCTGTTTCTTATAATGAGCTTATAATTGCCTTTTTGAAAGGTCCTATTTGATAATTTTTAGAATATTTTAGGTCATCTAATTTAATGTAGCTGCTGAGATATTTGAGCTTAAATCTTACTATTATTTTTATTTGTGCATCATTCTTTGATTTTTTTCCTGTTCTTGACTTTTGTAGTTATCGATTATATTTTAATGAGCCTATTTCCTCTATAAGTTTGATAGCTACAAATTTTTTTTTAAATTTTTTTATTTTAAAGAGTAAAAGAAAGATAACAATAATGGGGGGGGCTTACCAAATTACAGACAAAGTGGTAGGAAATTATCAATGGTTTTTGTTTTACATATTGTTATCTACAAGATAGTTTCTCAGGAAAACAAATAGACAAATAATAGTGAGTTACAGACAAAAGAGGTAGGGGATTATAAATAGTTGTTGTACT